CAACCAAACACTTCACGGGATTTGGTTCCTTGGTTTGGAGGTTTAGGGTCATGGTTTCATGGGACATCCCAGTTAATTGGCCTAATAACATGTTTAATGCTCCTGTTCTACTTCCTGGTTCGTTGTGTAGTGTCTGGGGCCTTAAAAGCTTGCAAGCTGGCATCCAAGGCACAACAATTGCTCTCTATTCACCTGGAGCAACAGAAGAAGAAGGGGAGTCAGGAATAGAAAGAGGATAGGGAATGTATCATCTGATTATTGCAGGTTGTTAATGAGTGGTTCTCCAATCCTGATGCAACCTTCTTCATGTAGTCCAACTTCTTGGATTATTTGGTCAGGAAAGGCATTCATCAGGATTGTATCCTTTCACCATACTTATTCAATCATACTCACAATACTTATTCATTACTGTATGCTGAGCAAATAATCTGAGAAACTGGACTATATGAAGAAGAAGGTGGCATCAGGATTGGAGGAAGATTAATTAACAACCTGTGATCTGCAGATGACACAATCTTGCTTGCTGAAACTGAAGAGGACTTGAATCATTTACTAATGAAGATCAAAAACTACAGCCTTCAGTATGCATTACACCTCAACATAAAGAAAACAAAAATCCTCACAAATGGACCAATAAGCAACATCATGATTAACAGAGAAAATACTGAAGTTGTCAAGGATTTCATTTGACTTGAATCCATAATCAAGCCTATGGGAGCAGCAGTCAAGAAATCAAACAGCATATTGCATTGGGCAAATCTGCTGCAAAAGACCTCTTTTTAAAGTGTTGAAAAGTAAAGATGTCACTTTGAGGACGAAGGTGCGCCTGACCCAAGCCATGGTATTTTCAGTCCCCTCATATGCATGCAAAAGCTGGACAATGAATAAGGAAGACCAAAGAAGAATGGATGCCTTTGAATTATGGTGCTGACGAAGAATACTGAATATATCATGGACTGCTAGAGAATGAACAAATCTGTCTTGGAAGAAGTACAGCTCTTAGCAAGGATGGTGAGACTTCATCTCATGTACTTTGGACATGTTATCAGGACGGACCAGCCTCTGGAAAGGGACATCATGCCTGGTAGAGTAGAGGGTCAGTGAAAGAGAGGAAAACCCTCAATGAGATGGACTGACACAGTAGCTGCAATGTCGGACTTCACAATGCTTGTGAAGATGGTGTAGGGGTTGGCAGTGTTTTGTGCTATTGTACATAGGGTACTATGAGTCAGAACTGACTCAACAGCACCTAACAACAACAACAACACAGAATATGTGGCTATTTGCCTCCATGAACCACCTCCTCCTTTGCCATGAGACCAGAAGAACTGGGTGGCATCTGGCTACCATTACTGTACATTTTGATCAAAGATTCCATAGGAGAATCCTGATAGAATTGGGGAAAATTTAGGACAGAATTTCAAATTCTCTTTGTCTCTAGACTTTATGAAGCCATGGAGGGTGGATGAACTCCTAAAACTATTGCCCTGAGGTAATCTTTAAATCTTACCAAAAATATCCCCTGAAGTCATCTTAAAACTAAACAATAGTTTAGCTTAACTAGTAAAAATTGTTTTCCTTGAGCATTATGCTCTTTCAAGAATTATCTTAAAAATGAAATGGAATGCATAAAGATTGATATCCTAGGCATTAATGAGCTGAAATGGGCTGCTATTGGCCATTTTGAATTGGAAAATCATATGGTCTACTATGCTGGGAATGACAACTTGAAGAGGAATGGTGTTGCATTCATCATCAAAAAGAACATTTCAAGATCTATCCTGAAGTACAATACTGTCAGTGATAGGATAATATCCATATGCCTACAAGGATGACCAGTTAATATGGCTATTATTCAAATTTATACACCAACCACTAAGGCCAAAGATGAAGAAATTGAAGATTTTTACCAGCTTCTGCAGCCTGAAATTGATCAAACATGCAATCAGAATGCATTGACAATTACTGGTGACTGGAATGCAAAGATTGGAAACAAAGAAGGATGACTGGTTGGAAAACATGGCCTTGGTGATAGAAACGATACCAGAGATCACATGATAGAATTTTGCAAGACCAACGACTTCTTCACTGCAAATACCGTTTTTCACCAACATGAACGGCGACCATACACATGGACCTCACCAGATGGAATACACAAGAATCAAATCAACTACATCTGTGGAAAGAGACGATGGAAGAGCTCAATATATCATCAGTCAGAATAAGGCCAGGGGCTGACTGCAGAACAGACCATCAACTGCTCATATATGCAAGTTCAAGCTGAAACTGAAGAAAACTAGAACAAGTCCACGAGAGCCAAAGTACGACCTTGAGTATATCCCACCTGAATTTAGAGACCATCTCAAGAATAGATTTGATGCGTTGAACACAAATGATCAAAGACCAGACAAGTTGTGGAATGACATCAAGAACATCATACATGAAGAAAGCAAGAGGTCATTAAAAAAGACAGAAAAGAAAGAAAAGACCAAAATGGATGTCAGAAGAGACTCTGAAACTTGCTCTTGAATGTCGAGTAGCTAAAGCAAAAGGAAGAAATGAAGAAATAAAAGAACTGAACAGAAGATTTCAGAGGGTGGCTCGAGAAGACGAAGTCAAGTATTATAATGACATGTGCAAAGACCTGGACATAGAAAACCAAAAGGGAAGAACATGCTCCACATTTATCAAGCTGAAAAAACTGAAGAAAAAATTTAAGACTTGAGTTGCAATAGTGAAGGATTCTATGGGGAAAATATTAAACGACACAGGAAGCATCAAAAAAAGATGGAAGAAATACACAGAATCATTATACCAAAAAGAACTGGTCGACATTCAGCCATTTCGAGAGGCAGCATATGATCAGGAACCGATGGTACTGAAGGAAAAAGTCCAAGCTGCACTGAAGGCACTGGCAAAAAACAAGTCTCCAGGAACTGACAGACTATCAATTGAGATGTTTCAACGAATGGATGCAGTGCTGGAAGTGCTCACTCATCCATGCCAAGAAATTTGGAAGACAGATACCTGGCCAACCAACTGGAAGAGATCCATATTTATGCCTATTCCCAAGAAAGGTAATCCAACTGAATGTGGAAATTACAGAACAATATCGTTAATATTGCACACAAGTAAAATTTTGCTGAAGATCATTCAAAAGCAGCTGCAGCAGTATATCGACAGGGAACTGCCAGAAATTCAGGCCAGATTCAGAAGAGGATGTCGAACCAGGGATATCATTGCTGATGTCAGATGGATCCTGGCTGAAAGCAGAGAATATCAGAAAGATGTTTACCTATGTTTTATTGACTATGCTAAGGCATTCAACTGTGTGGGTCATAACAAACTACGGATAACATTGCAAAGAATGGGAATTCCAAAATACTTAATTGTGCTCATGAGGAACCTGTACATAGATCAAAAGGTAGTCGTTCGAACAGAACAAGGGGATCCTGCGTGGTATAAAGTCAGGAAAGGTGTGTGTCAGGGTTGCATCCTTTTACCATACTTATTCAATCCATATGCTGAGCAAATAATCTGAGAAGCTGGACTATATGAAGAAGAACGGGCATCAGGATTGGAGGAAGACTCATTAACAACCTGTATTATGCAGATGACACAACCTTGTTTGCTAAAAGTGAAGGGGACTTGAAGCACTTACTGCTGAAGATCAAAGACCACAGCCTTCAGTATGGATTTCACCTCAATGTAAAGAAAACAATCCTCACAACCAGACCAATAAGCAACATCATGATAAACGGAGAAAAGACTGAAGTTGGCAGGGATTTCATTTTACTTGGATCCACAATCAACACCCATGGAAGCAGCAGTCAAGAAATCAAAGGACGCATTGCACTGGGCAAATCGGCTGCAAAATACCTCTTTAAAGTGTTGAAAAGCAAAGATGTCACCTTGAAGACTAAGGTGAGCCTGACCCAAACCACGGTGTTTTCAATCGCCTCATATGCATGTGAAAGCTGGACAATGAATAAGGAAGACCAAAGAAGAACTGATGCCTTTGAATTGTGGTGTTGGCAAAGAATATCGAACATACCATGGGATGCCAAAAGAACAAACAAATCTGTCTTGGAAGAAGTATAACCAGAATGCTCCTTAGAAGCAAAGATGGAGAGACTACGTCTTACATACTTTGAACATGTTGTCAGGAGGTATCAGTCCCTGGAGAAGGACATCATGCTTGGTAAAGTAGAGGGTCAGCTTAAAAGAGGAAGACCCTCAAGGAGATGGATTGACACCGTGGCTGCAACAATGGGCTCAAGCATAACGATTATGAGCACGGCAGAGGCCCGGGCAGTGTTTCGTTCTGTAGCACATAGGGTCACTATGAGTCAGAATCAACTCAATGGCACCTAATAACAACATACTGGATCAAATTGACAACAACAACGAGAAAGATTAGGTAGGAACTTAGGGAGCAGTGAGTTTATGTTAATGGGGGAGGAACAACTCAGATAAGGAAGGTGGGAGTGGTTGTACAACTGGAAGAATGTAAGCAATGTCACTAAATGGTACATGTAGAAATGGTTGAATTGGTGTATGTTTTGCTGTGTATATTCTCAACAACAACAACAAAATAAATAAAACTTAGAAGGAAAAAAATAATAATAAAGGCTCATTTCTTAAGCCCCTGAGAAATGTGATTCGAACTTGTGCCTAATACAGTTCTCTTTACAGTCATCACCTTGTGCTCCTTAGATAGGATTGCCAGATTTAGCAAATAAAAATACAGAACTCCCAGTTGAATTTGAATTTCAGATAACAGTACATCAGTTTTTAGTACAAGTATGTCCCATGCAATATTTAGGACAAACATATACTAAAAAATTACTTGTTCTTTATCTGAAATTCAAATGTAACTGGTTGTACTGTATTTTATGTGCAATCCTATCCCCAGACCCTCCTCCCCTGGATAAAGTCCACCACACATCTTTCTCTGTGTGGACTCACACTAGAGGCTGTCAACAATGGCCAAGGCCTACCTTCTCCAGAAGCCACGGTGTCTGAATTTGCCTTTTTCTTTCTAATAGTCCAACTATAGTCTTCCATCCAGCGTTTCAGAATCAATTCCCAGAGATCCTGAATAGAGACCACCTCCAAGTATTCCTTCATACACTGAAACTCATCTCTGTAGATCCTACATTCTTTAAATTCATTGGCTAGGATTGTGAGTTTTAAAGGATTCAGGTTTGTTTTCTTCCTCAAAGCTTGTCTGTTCTGCTGGAAGGGGTCCTTGCTGGGAATGAAGAGATGCTGTCTAAAGATGTTTAGTTTTACTTCTTCCTCTCCTGTGCTAATGAACTCCAGTGTCCTCACATCTGGGCGGGTACACAGTGACTTGTAGGACAGGCTGGAGGAGACGGTGCTCATGATAAATTTGCAATGGGGAGAGAGTGAGCGTGGCAGCCAGGAAAAATCTTTTGCCTGATGGAGAGATTCAAAAACATTTTAAGACTTTAAAATGACCCTGCTGATGGTTTTCAAACTTAGGATAGGTGGAATATAGGGAGTAAGCATAGGGTAAGGGTTGGGGTTATAATTATCAATAGTAACTTGTGATACTAGCAATGTGGTGATAACAAAATACTAGTTCATGCTCAATAAAACCAAATTTGACTGATTTGCCTGTATGTTATGAGTTTGCTAATGCAAATGTGGACACTAAAAAGAGGTCCCTACAAGCAAGCAACGTGGCAAAAGCATATATTTCTGAAGAATAACCTAACAGTGACAACCAAAGAACAACTAAGAGAGTACAAATTGAACCATTCATTAGAAAAAGATGACACTGTTTTATGCTGAAGAATTGTCATTTTGAGCAGCAATACTATCATAAGTTAAATGGTTTGATTTTGGAATAAAATAAACATTTACTAAGATCTTTTCTAGTTTCCTTTAAACAGCCTTTCCCACCTCACTTTGCCAATTAGTAACAGCTATCATTTACTGACTGCTTGCTCTGTGCCAGGCCCTGTTTAGAGTGTATTTCAGGTCCTAACTCATTCAATCCTCATAACAATCTCTGTAGAGGCAGAGGAAGAAACTGAAGCACAGAGGGGCTGGATGTCTTACCCAACTCATTCTGCTAGGACATGGCATAGCTGGGATTCAAAGCAAAGGACTGGCTACAGTGACAGTCTCTAAACCACGGAGCTAAATCGCTTCTGGTAACTGCTTGGCCAAGCCCTCCTCTTCCTGCAGAGCTCACCTGAAGCCTTCTTCCAGGAAGCCTTTCCCCGCAGGTCAAGGCCCTTCAAGGAAAGCACTCACGACACTACATACCTGTCCTTGGCAGCACTTGTCAGAGAGGCAGTTTTATACTTATTTGTGTGATGCTTATATTAATATCTGTCACTCCCCACTAGACTGAAACTCTGTCTTGGCAGGGACCATCTCTGTTTTTACTGACAGTGCCTTGCTCACAGTAAGTGGTCAATAATTATTTGTTGAATATGTGATGGTTGCCATGTATTAAGTTAAAAAGCAAGTTATGAAACAATATGGTGTGCAATCATATATTATAAAATATAGTTGTTGTTGTTAGTTGACGTCAACGCACAGCAACTTTATGTATAAAAACAAAAAACAAAAAACCAAACCCATTGCCAGTGAGTCAATTCTGACTCATAGTGACCCTACAGGACAGAGTAGAACTGCCCCGTAGGATTTCCAAGAAGCAGCTCGTGGATTCAAACTGTCAACCCTTTAGTTAACAGCCGAACACTAAACTACTATGCCAACAGGGCTCCACATTATGTATAACAGAACAAAATGTTGCCTGGTCCTGCATCAATATATACTCATGGAAAAAGAAGGCTATGCACCAAGATGTTTGACAGTGGTGAGACTACAAGTGATATCGAATTTTTTACTTTCTTCTTTTTTTGTTCTTCATATTTTCTACAAGGAACATATACTACTTACATAATTTATTAATTACATATACTTCTAAGTTTTAGAGAAAATGCTTCACGAAGTAATGAACGAATCTAAGAAGCAGAAGAGATTCCTAGTCTAATATCATTTTAAACAGGAGAAACCAAGGATGGCAAGCCGTGAAGGGGAGTGGTATGTGTAAAATCAGTGTGGATGAGGCCGACAAAACTATAAAACGTAAAGAACATAGCAGGTGCTCAATAAATGTCTGATCAAAAAATAAAAGAGGGGAGCAGAACTGTGCAGGGGTTAAGGCCACAATTTCTAGAACCAATCTGCCCATATTTGAATCCCAACTCTACCACTTACTATCTTGGACTTTAGACAAGTCACCTAACATCTCTGGGATCAGACCCCTCTGTGTAAACAGGAATGATGACCACAGTCTCTCTCTCTCTCACAGGGCTGTTGTTCTTGTTGTTCTTGTTCTTGTTGTTGGGTGCCGTCGAGTCAATTCTGAATCATAGCAACCCCACGTGGCAAAGCAGATCTACCCCATAGCGTTTCCTAGGCTGTAATCTTTATAGGAGCAGATTGCCAGGGCTTTTTCCTGTACAGCTGCTAGGTGGGTTAGAACCGCCAACCTTTCAGTTAGCAGCTGAGCGTTTAACCATTGCATCACTAGGGTTCCTTACAGGGATGTCATAAGGATTAAATGAATTAATAATTTTAAAGTTTCTATAATGGTGCCTGGCCCATAATAAGTACTATATAAGTATTTGTTCAATAAAATATAAAGCAGTAACTATAAGCAATGGTGGCTAAAACCAGAGATATGCAGTGCAATGGAAAGATGTTATGTACATCCTAAATTACAGGGTTTTCTTTTCATAAAAAATATATTACCTTCTGTCCTGAAATCCCATAAATACCAGTCAATTCTTCGATTCCATCTAGTACGAGTATACATGGCTTTGAGCTGATAGAAGCAATGAACACTTCTACAAGAAGTGAAAAGACCAAGATATTCGGGTCTTCATTAAGAACATCAGTTTCGAGCTGAGTACCTACAGCATAAAAATTAGTTCAAATTTGGGGAAAAACTTTCCATCATTGCTAAAATATGTTAATGGACTGGGGTTGGGAACAATGAGTGCTACACACAGCTGTACAGCGGAAGATGCGTATGTGTTTGATCGGTTGTTGTTAGGTGCTTTAGAGTTGGTTCCAACTCATAGCAACCCTATGTACAATAGAACAAAACACTGCCCAGTCCTGCGCCATCCTCACAATTGTTGCTATGTTTGACCCCACTGTTGCAGACACTGTGTCAATCCATCTTGTGAAGGGTCTTCCTCTTCTTCACTGACCCCCTACTTTACCAAGCATGATGTCCTTCTCCAGGAACTGGTCCCTCCTGATAACTTGTCCAAAGTACGTAAGACGAAGTCTCGTCAAGGGAGCATGTGTGTGATTAGCACCCTCAAAACATTCAACCCAGAAAAAGATAATGATATTTACCATCTGGTGCCTCCAACACATTTTCAGGATTTTATATGAGATATTTTTCTGTAACCCAAATAATTACCCTCATTTTCTAAACTGCAAAAATAGATCATGTTACAAATAGTTGGATGGGAAGAAAGAGAAGTCAAAATATGTGATTTGTAAAGTTTCTGTACCTGTCTAGGTGTGACGGCCACCCCCCTGGGTTCTTCCTTCCAGCAGTACACACATACAGCAACTCCCACCCACTGCTTAGTCTCTTTGGTCCTAGCTCGTCTTAAACCTAACATAACCAATCCTAAATTTCTCTACTCACAATATTGGACCCCAGACCTTGGATTCTGGAAATTACCAGAGAAAATTAAGTTATGATCCAGCAAAGGGCAGAGGAAATAATTTGAGAAGACCAACTTTTAGACTGTGATTAAGTGACCTAGTAGTAGCAACCCAAAATTATAATCAACTAGCAAATAGTCTAAAAGCATTTTACTGCATAGAACTTCTGTCTTGCTTTATTTTTTCAAAAGAAATATTTTCCACTGAAATTTAGGCATATTAGGATCTAGGAAATCAAATTATGCACAGATGTTTTAGTGAGTTAAGTCTCAAATGCATTAAGACTCTATTAAAGTCATTGAGAGTTATTATGGTTAACAAACATTTATTAGCTGTTTATTATCTACAAGGTTCTGTGCTGGCTGCTAAGAGGAGATAATAAAATCCATAATATCAAGCCAAGATGCTGAGAGAAATGGGAATGAGTTCTGAACACAAATAACCATCACAACCACATTTCACGGTAGAATATGGGTTTGAAGGCTACTGAATTTAATGTGGAACCATCAGAATGAAGAACAGCTTTGTGTAGAAGACATTTGAGATGAACCTTGGAGAACGCACAGATAGAGATGAGAGGAAGTACATATTAAGCAAGGCAAAAAGCATAGGTAAAGGCCTGGAGGTAGGAAAGTACAGTGAACATTAGAAAAACAGGAAGTTGTTTGGAGCAGTAGCTCTCAACAGGGGTGGTCCCAGGGGTTCTAGGCACCCTACAACATGGGACAGTCACACACAAGGAAGATTTGTCTCTGGGTCTACCCAGTTTTCAAATGTTCTGTCAGACAATCACATAAAGGAAAAGTATTCATAATTAAACCAACTCCATTCTACATGTAAATGCAAAGTAATTTTTGCACAGTTTTAACTTTCTAGGAATGCAACTACCATGTAAATTGATGGAAGATTATACATTGTTTTGTCTGTAACAACTCCAAATTTGTCTAACATTTCAGACAATCACAACTCTGATAGCAATACTGCTAATGATGTGGGAGTGTCTAGTGCAACACACTCATCAGTCTACGCTTAAACCTACTGCCTTCCTGGTGATTTTCCAGACATTGGCTGGTAGCTGCTTACTCCATTATATCTTCTACTGGAAGCATGTCTGAGCATTTACATGTTAAAATACATATTTTTTAATAATCAACTACTCTTTCTATATTCACCTTTTATATCAGAGGATTGCATTAATTTTTAAAGAGATTTTTATATCAGAAAATGACCAAAAAATCATAAGACAGTACACAATACTGGGGAAGCCAGCAAAACTTGAACAACACAAGGTCATGGAAGCTCCATAGACACACCCAAACTCCCTGAGGGACTGAATTGCTGGGCTGAGGGCTGTAGGGACCATACTCTTGGGGAACATCTAGCTCAACTGGCATAACATAGTTTATAAAGCAAATGTTCTACATCCTACTTTGGTGAGTAGCATCTGGGTCTTAAAAGCCTGTGAGCAGCCCTCTAAGATACTCCACTGGTCTCACCCCTTCGGGAGCAAGGGAGAATGAAGAGAACAGGATACAAGGGAAAGATTAGTCCAAAGGACTAATGGACCACAACTACCACGGCCTCCACCAGACAGTCCAGTACAGTACAGTCAGTCCAGTACAACTAGATGGTGTCCAGCTACCACCACTGATTGCTCTGACAGGGATCACAAGAGAGGGTCCTGGACAGAGCTGGAGAAAAATGGAGAACAAAATTCTAACTCACACAAAAAAACCAAACTTACTGACCTGACAGAGACTGGTGAAACCCCGAGAGTATGGCCCCTGGACACCCTTTCAGCTCAGTAATGAAGTCACTCCTGAGGTTCAACCTTCATCCAAAGATCAGCCAGGCCCATAGGACAAAATGAGACTAAATGGGCACACCAGCCCAGGGGCAAGGACTAGAAGGCAGGCGGGGACAGAAAAGCTGGTAACAGTGAACCCAAGGTTGAGAAGGGAGAGTGTTGACATGTCATGGGGTTGTTAACCAATGTCATAAAACAATATGTGTACTAACTGTTTAATGAGAAGCTAGTTTGTTCCGTAAATTTTCATCTGAAGTACAATTTAAAAAAAAATCTAAAATAAAGAAAATGACCATAAAATCAAAAAGGCTTGATAATTATACATGAATGTTGTGAGACATAAAGGAGAAGAAGGTATCAAAAAAGATAGAGTTTGAGCTTATGTCATACAATGAAAGATATTTCTCAAGAATGGGAAGGAAAAGAATCAATCTTGATGCTTCATCCTTTGTGTTTTTAAAAACTCTTAAAAATTATAGCCAATGTACCAATGACCGCCCCAACAGGGAACACAACAGAGAGTCCTGGATGGAGCAGGAGAAAGGTGGGGTGCAGAACTCAAATTCTAGTAAGAAGATCAGACTTAATGGCCTGACTGAGACTGGAGGAACCCCTGAAAGCATGGCCCCTGGACTCTCTGTCAGCCCAGAACTAAAACAATTTCTGAATCCAACTCTTCAGACAGGGATTGGAATGGACTATGGGACATAAAGTGATACTCGTGAGGAGTGTGCCTCTTAGCTCAAGTAGCTACAAGAGACTAACAGGCAGCTTCTGTCCAGAGGTGAGATGGGAAGGCAGACAGGGTTAGGAGCTGGTTGAATGGATGTGGGTAATCAGGGGTGGAAAGGAGGAGTGTGCTGTCACAGTATGGGGAGAGCAATTAGGGTCCCATAACCGTGTAGGTATAAATTTTTGTATGGGAAAAAATAAAAAGTAAATAAATAAATAATTATAGCCAGTGTTGAGATCTCAAATCATACATGACAGAATTTTAGAGCAGAGAGGTTGTTGAGATCATTCAGTCTCGTCCAAGCCCCTCATTTTGTAGATGAGGAAAGCAAGGTCTAGAGAGCTGAGGGAAGTTGACCATTAGAAGCTTTCAAAACACTTATTTTTCTAATAGTTTTTCTTCAGACAAGAACAGCAAGTAATAATTTAAACAATAATCTATTTGAGTTTTCAAGCTGTGTATGGTTACCATTTCTTGGTGTGTGTGGTTCACTACCAGTCATATATGGGAACCCACAGAGATGAGGATTGCTATGTCTTTCATGAAACTGGTGTAGAGGTTAAGTGACAAAACAAACATGAACCTCAAAAAAATACACACCAGCTGACAATCATAAAGCATAACATCACTAATAGTAATCAGCAAATATCTATCACCACTCGACAAAAAGAAAAAAAAACTCAAGGATGATGCTTATGGATTAATGTCTTTACATATGAAGGAACCCCACATGTCTGTCAGTTTGTTGTACTGTGGGGGCTTGCATGTTGCTGTGATGCTGGAAGCTATGCCACTGGTATTCAGATACCAGCAGAGTCACCCATGGCGGACAGGTTTCAGCTGAGCTTCCAGACTAAGACAAACTAGGAGGAAGGATTAGAGGAAAACTCATTAACAACCTGTGTTATGCAGATGACACGACCTTGCTTGTGGATTTCAGGCACCAACGACCAAAGACCACAGCCTTCAGTATGGACTACACCTCAACATAAAGAAAACAAAAATCCTCCCAACTGGACCAATAAGCAACATCGTGATAAATGGAGGAAAGGTTGAAGTTGTCAAGGATTTCATTTTACTTGGATCCACAATCAACACCCATGGAGGCAGCAGTCAAGAAATCAAAGGACACGTTGCATTGGGCAAATCTGCTGCAAAAGACCTCTTTAAAATGTTCAAAAACAAAGATATCACCTTGAAGACTAAGGTGTGCCTGACCCAAGCCATGGTGTTTTCAATCGCCTCATATGCATGTGAAAGCTGGACAATGGATAAGGAAGACCGAAGAAGAATTGACGCCTTTGAATTGTGGTGTTGGCAAAGAATACAGAATATACCATGGACTGCCAAAAGAATGAACAAATCTGTCCAGGAAGAAGTAAAACCAGAATGCTCCTTAGAAGCAACGATGGCAAGACTACATCTTACATAATTTGGACATGTTGTCAAGACGGATCAGTCCCTGGAGAAGGACATCATGGTTGGTAAAGTACAGGGTCAGTGAAAAAGAAGAAGACCCTCAAGGAGATGGATTAACACCGTGGCTGCAACAATGGGCTCAAGCATAGCAACAATTGTGAGCATGACGCAGAAGCGGGCAGTGTTCCGTTCTATAGTACATAGAGTCGCTATGAGTCGGAACTGACTCGATGGCACCTAACAAGAACAACATATGAAGGAAAGCATATGTTCAGTGTTTTTTAAGTCACATTTTGAGTGACTATAATTATTTTTCCTCAAAATGATGTTGAAGAGGAGGTCAGCATTACTACTATTGGAAAACAATCTTAAACATTTCTCTGAATTATGGTAGGATCAGACTGGCTTTACTAAATGACAATAGCCCACTGGTTACTTTAAACTGTAACATCTCAAGTTGTTTAAAGAACCAGTCAGGATAGGTAGATTTATGGGGAGAGAAAAAAAAAAAATCAATCAATACAATTCTATGACATTTTGTAACAAAATGACTTAGTGACTATTTTTTTCATTTTTTAGCAGTGTTTTATCATTCAATACAGATTTATAAAGAACCTTCTATGTGCCAGGCTCTGTGCCAGGCAGTGGGTATAACAATGAGCAGTAAAATAGACATGGTTCCCTGCACTTCCAGGACTTATAGAGGGAGACAAACAATAATACACAAAACGACAGGACTACGTGTAAGTCACCTGCGGGGCCAAGGCAGGCAAGCTCACAGTGCTAGGAGGGGACACCCATGTAAACTAAAATAGAGTGGGATTGGTGCTATGCTTGCTGCCTGGTCAAAGTTAAGGGTGAAGGAGCAAGGCACCCACTAACTCTCTCACAGAGGAGGTGACATTTGAACTGCGTCTTGGAAGATGAGTAGGATCTCACACATTTAAAAAAGGGAGCCACCACCCATCTGTCAACTTGTGGTGCTGTGGTAGCTTGGGTGTTGTTATAATGTTGGAAGTTATACCACCAGTATTTCAAATACCAGCAGAATCACCCATGGTGAACAGGTTTCAGCAGAGCTTCCAGAGCAAGACTGACTGGGGAGAAAGGCCTGGTTATCTACTCCCAAAAATTAGCCAATGAAAAACTTACGGGTCACAATAGAACACTGTCATGTATACTGCTGGAAGATGAGCCCCCTAGGTTGAAATGCACTCAAAATACACAGTGGCTGCAACAATGGACTAAAGCATATCAATGACTGTGAAGATGGCATAGGACCAGGCAACATTTCGTTCTGTTGTACATGGGGTAGCCATGAGTCAGAGCCAACTGGACAGCAGCTAACAACAACAAGAAATGGAAGAGGCAGTCCAGGAAGAGGGAATTGAATGGGCAAGACACGGAGGGACAGAGTGACTGGCCTGCTCTCAGGAGGCCAAACCCATGAAGCAAAGGGGTGAAAGACGAGGCTGGAGAAGTTAGTGGGGTCCAGGGCACAAAGCTCTGCCCAGGATTTCTGCTAATATGTCTGCCCATTCCACATCACAGACCTGACTGCAGACTCTGCTGATTGATATTTGGTATTGGGAGAAAACCCTGATGGAAATCATCCAAAAGAGTGACATTTTCCCTGTGTGGGCTCAAGTAGGCAAGACAGTGCAGTGATGAGGATGAGGGACCACTGTGCGTCTGTGACTCAGCCATTCTGAGCCTCGGTACCCTTCTCTGGAAGAGGATGCTTTAAATGGACTGGTGAGAGCATTAAATGAGCTGTTGATAAAGCCCTCAGCACAGTGCCTGGTACTCAGAGAACCTTCAGTAAGTGGAATTCATTGTTACTCAGGGTTGGTACCAGGTTACTGGGAAAACATGGTGGGGAAACATGTCAACAAGACAGCCAGAGGCTCTATTCTGCCCTTCTGAAAAGTGCAGAAGGGGCACCAGCTGCTGGCGATGCAAGCAAGGGGCATGTGAGTTGGGAGAACTGGCTTCAGGCAGTACTCCACCACAAGATCCCTTTATCCCAGCGAGCAGCCGTGGAGGGCAGAGGAGTAGAAATGTGAGCTTAACACAGGGGTGTTTTGACACCCCGCTAGGGAGGGCCCCCAGTTCCTAGCATACTCAGGGCTGCAGCTGCAGACAGTTGAGGCAGGCAACAGGAAATTGCTCTCTACAAAGAAGCAGAATCTACTTCAACTGCTGGACCTCTCCAGCCGGCAGCGTTCTCAGCAGCAGCCCCTTCTCCTCTGCCCACAGCCACCTACCCCAGGTGCAACCCCAGCTTCCAAGCAAAGGCAACTATGCTAAGCGATCCTGGTGCTGGCCTTCTATGCCAACCCTCCGCCTCCTTCTTGGACTGCCAGAGCAGCAAACTCTCTTGAGTTGCAGTCCCTCCTCTCCTTAATGAATAGGAGTAGCTTGGAGTCCCTGGGTGGCGCAGTTAACAAGCTTGGCTGCTAACCAAAAGGTTAGTGGTTTGAGTCCACCCAGAGGTGCCTCAGAAGAAAGGCCTGGTGATCTACTTACAAAAAATTGGTCACTGAAAACCCTACGGGGCACAGTCCTACTCTGACACACATGGGGTTGCAGTGAGTCGGAGTCGACTCCACAGGAACCGATGTTTCCCTTAGCAGGACCCCCTGGGGCAGATTGCTAGTAAGCAAGGTGTCAGGCTTACGTTAAGCAAGGCATGCATGGGCTTACTTGTGTTTACTCACTAATCTGTAGTGCACAATTTCACATGGGTTTCACCACATCAAAGAAAAATAGGTGAAATTGTGCTCTACAGATTAGTAAGTAAGCACAAGTAAGCCCATGCCTACCTTGCTTTTTGGGTAATCCAGCCCTCAGTCCCCCCACTTTCTGTAGCTTAGTGAGGAATAATAATAATAAAGCAGCTAAAAATAATAAATGCTGCCTGTGTGCCAGACACCATTTTAAATTCTTTACATGTATTATCTCTTAATCCTCACAGAGCCTTCTGAGGTAAATTCTATTAATCCCATCCCCATTGCATAGATGAGAAACTGGGGCACTAAATAAACTATGCAAGATCACACAGCTAGTAAGTAGTAGAGCCAGAATTGAAAATGTAGGCAGGCCAACTCCAGAACCTCAGCCGTACCCCTCGGCCTCCTGCCATTCATGAGGAAGGATGTCCTTTCAGGGACAGAAGCTGTCACCTGGCTGTGTATTCATAGGTGGTTCCTGACTTATTCCACTGTTGTCAGCCTAAAGATCTGTTTGTTTGAAAGACAGCAGCTGTTTTTATAAGGCACCTTCAGCACCTGAAAGCACACTCACTAAAATAATGATTTACTTTGGGAATAAAATTGTGATTGGGTGTGTACAATTGAGTTCACATCGTCAGCCTGGTCAGACTGAACACCTTTAGGATGTGTCTGAGTACGATTAGTCACCTTTTATAGAGCTACTTGCATCTTCTTCTATAGATTTTTATTTTAACCAGATAATGCAACTGAATCAACGCCCATGGAAGCAGCACACAGGAAATCAAACAACATATTGCATTGGGCAAATCTGCTGCAAAAGATGTCTTTGAAGTGTTAAAAAGCAAAGATGTCACTTTAAAGACTAAGGTGTGCCTCAACCAAGCCATGATATTTTCAATCGCCTCACATGCATGCAAAAGCTGGACAATGAGTAAGGAAGACAGAAGAAGAATTGACATCTCTGAATTATGGTGTTGGCAAAGAATATTGAATATACGATGGACTGCCAGAAGAACGAACAAGTTATCTTAGAAGAAACACAACCAGAGTGCTCCTTGGAAGCAAGGATGGCAAGACTTCGTCTCATGTACTTTGGACATGTTATCAGGAAGGACCAGTCCCTGGAGAAGAACATCATGCTTGGTAAAGTAGAGGGTAAGCAAAAAAGAGGAAGATCCTCAATGAGATGGATTCACATAGTGGCTGCAACAGTGGGCTCAAACATAAAAACGATCGTGCGGATGACGCAGGACCGGGCAGTGTTTTGTTCTGTTGTGCGTAGGGTCGCTATGAGTTGGAACAGACTGGACAGCACCTAACAACAACAACAACAATGCAACTTAGGTAATGCAACAATAGAGAACTCAACCCACACATGTTCACCCATATTTACTCACAGACACCCACAACACTCACAGAAAGAAGTCCAATATCCTTCCAATAAATATCCATCAAAACTCACCCTGGGGCACCCACATGTATTCACTTAGTACACAGAGGCACACATAGGTGTATCCCCCCAATGAGAAGTGATGAATTCCCAAAAGCAGGTTCTCAAAGTCAGAAACATACAAACATATAAATACACAGCCAAAAAAAAAAAAATCTGTTGCCGTCAAGTCGATTCTGACTCATAGCAACCCTATAGGACAGAGCAGAACTGCCCGATAGGGTTTCCAAGGAGTAGCTGGCAGATTTGAACTGCCAACCATTTCGTTAGCAGCTGAGCTCTTAACCACTGCACCACCAGGGCTCCAAATACACAGCAGGTACCTAATAATAATAATAGCTAACACTTACCAATGCTGTTATATGTCAGAAATTCATACTCCCCATTCCATAGTGTGAGGTTAGCTTCCTATCCCCGCTGGATTCCCAGAGTAGCCGTGTGACTCGTTCTTTCAACAAAAAGGGAGTGGAAGTGAGACGTATCACTTCTGGGCAGAGACTTTTAAGGAACAGGTGTGCCTTTTCCACTAGTTTTCCCATTCCTCTAGACAAATCAGAGGACTGTGAGGCCCTTAGGGGACAACACAAGCTGAAGATGGAAAGCGCCTGTGCCCCCAAATGATCACATGGAAGAAAGCCACTTGTCATCTAACCAGGAACCCTACACTGGCCTGTTACACGAGTGAGGGTTAGATTAGAAGAAGAGGAAAACACTCACGTGAGCAGAAGAGAGAACCACTAATTTCTAAATCACCCAAAATTTTCTGAATCAATTTGAAAGTTTGATGCTATTACCATAGTTTTTGTACTGTAATTCCGTGATGAAGTAATGGATCACAGACATGATGTCACTGCTGTCACAGGTGCTACCCACAAAATGAGGGATCAGCAACATGTCTGGGTGTTTCTTTTTGAAATAATTCACCCAGTTGGCAATCAGAGTGGACTTTCCACAACCACGTTCTCCAGACAAGAGCAAAACAGACTTGTAAGTGGGAAGAGGATTTATTCTGAAAAATAAAAGAGTAAAATATAGTAAAAATAAAATAAAGGGGTAAAATGCTTAGAAAATAAAGGAGGGAGGGAGGGAAGGAGAAAGAGAAAAAGAGAAGTTTTTCCTATATATATTTGGCCTCTAAGAGATAGGAAGTTCTAGTCCCAACTTTGACCTCAAGTGAACCAAAATAAATCATTCCCTCTGGGCTTCAGCTTTGTCCTATGTAAAATTAGGAGAGTCGAGAGAAAGTAACTTCTGAAGGCCCTTCCAACTATCAAGATCCCAAGGTTGTTCAATATGAACCCGAGGTCATGTCAGGGGCCCAACCTGCCCAAAGGCCCAGGAAGAAAAGACTCTCCGTATCAGTACATTGTCCTTATATCTGCCCCACTCAGCCCTTCCTTGGGTTACCAACACCACCACCAGGTTGGTCTGTGATGTAACATCACAATGAGGGAATAAAAAATTGAAGTGCTCATGCACCAAGAATTCCCATCAATCCTGAGGATCACAAAGTTGGAAATTCAACTAAACTACCATAATTGTTAGTGACTGACTGAGAAGTAGCCTGCTACTCTACCAGGGTGTTCTAGCTTATGGTACTGCAGAAATAGGATTTTTTTAAAAACTGGCATGAGCATAATATAGCTTGCCCATTGCTTTACCTTTTCTTGGTAAAAATCTTCTGGCTATGCCAAGGACTCCCAGGTCCATGCATATCTCTTCATACAGATTCTAGCCCTGTGCCTTACACAGTTTTCATTCGATAAATATGTGTCTATTGGTTTTTCATTGATATGAGCTCCATGAGGGGAGTTATTGGACTTCTCTTATTCATTATTGGACATTCAGTGACTAGCACAGTACCTGAGCATAAGTTGTTGAGTGAGTGAACAAAACAAATAAACCCGATACTCAGGCTTGGCAAAGCAAGAGGATCAGTCCGAAAACCCATTAAAACAGAAAACCTAAAGCAGGGTCATTAAATAGATTTGCTTCCTAAGAATTCCATCTACATTATACATTAGGAATCAATATGTTATTGCTTTAATTATTTCATCATCAAATTTGAATGGTAGTTAATGGTTACAGAGTTCCGTCTGGGGCAATGAAAAGTTTTGGGAATAGATAGTGGTGACAGGTGCACAACACTGTAAATGTGATTAATGCTACTGAATTGTACATTTAAAATTAGTGCTTTGCAATTTTCTTCATTTTCTATTTATTCTCAGGAAGAAATCATTAAGATCAAAGCTTTTATTTTTAAAAAAGCATATATTAAAAAAAAGTGGAAGACCCTCAATGAGATGGATTGACACCGTGGCTGCAACAACAGGCTCAAACATAGCAACGATTGTGAGGATGGCGCAGGACTGGGTAGTGTTTTGTTCTGTTGTACATAGGGTCGCTATGAGCTGGAATTGAGTCGACCACACCTAACAATAACATGTGTATGTATATGTATATATATCTCCACAATTTAAAAAAATTCTATGGTAGGATCTGATTTTGTATCCTGCTTCCACCTTTGCCCTCTTTTAGTCTACTCTCAACCAAGCAGCTAGAATGAGCCTGTCAAAATATAAGTCATATCAGGTCACTTCTCTGCTCAAAAGGAGTAAAAGCCCAAGTCCTACAATGAGTGACCTACGAAGCCAGACAAGATCTTTGCCCTCCTCTACATGTATTACATCTCCAATCTCACCCCCTACCACTGTGACTTCCTTCCAGAGGCACTCCTCCAGCCTCAGGACCTCTGTGTTTGCTACTGCCTCCATCCGGAATGCTCTTCTGGCTCATATTGGCATAGCTTGCTTCCTCACTTACTTCTGGTAGTTACCCAAATACCACTTTCTTGGTGAGGCCTTCCCGTACCCTACCAGATGCCCTATTCCCTTTAAGCGTTCCATTTTGCTCCACAGCACTTAACAACATCTAACATACTACATATTTATGTTTGCTGCCTGTCTCCACAGTGTAACGTGGGCTCCATGGAAGCAGAGATTTTTATCTTTTGTTCACTGCTGTATCTCCTGTGCATAGAACAGTTCTTGGCACCTAGCAGGTGAAATCGATGAAGGAGAAATACAAATATAAATGCATCTGCATAGTTAGGCTAGGGTCTTAATAATTTCTTCCTGAGAACAAACAGAAAATGAAAAATTGCAAAGCAATCCATGGCTCCTTTCAAAATAAGGAAAAAAAGAATGCTATTGTTCCATAAGGTTGGTTATTAAGACAATGCTTTAAAACTTCCAAAGAACACTCCTTTTCTATTGACCTATATACTCTATTCAGGAACTTACAGTACAAAGCATTGTTTCCAAACAGCAGAGCAAACAAAGCTCTGGATGTTTCCATACAGCTAACCTGTTGTTGTGTGCTGTTGAGTCAATTCTGACTCACAGTGACCTTGTAGGACAGAGTAGAACTGCCCCATAGGGTTTCCAAGGAGCGGCTGGTAGGTTCAAACTGCCAATCTTTTGGTTAGCAGCCTGAGCTCTTAACCACTTCGCCCCCAAACCTAAGAGAATCTATTTAACTTTTGTGTTTTATTGGGGACAACAATTTGAGTTATTTGTTATAAAATTTATTGAAATTCTCATCACTCTGAAGTACTTAAGTTTTTTTTATTACTGAGATATCAATCACATACCATAAAATTCATCATCTTAAAGTATAAGTCAGTGGTTTTCAATATATTCACAAGGTTGTACAAACATCACCTCTATCTAATTCCAGAACATTTTCATCACCCCAAAAAGAAACCTCATACTGGTTAGCAGTCACTCCCCATTTCCTCCTAACCCCAGCCCCTGGCAATCGCTAATCTACTTTCTGTCTCTGTAGATTTGCCTATTCAAATCTAAGTTTTTAACATATGACTTCTATGTTTCTCTTGTAGTCTTATATACACTGACTGAGTGCCATGTTGTATTAATCAAATAGTCTTCCTCTTGGCCTGGGTTCCCAGACCACACATGTTGGTAGCTCTGCGCTCGAGTAGGCTAAAATGGTGGATGTGGAGACTGGCACAGCAATGTGAAGGACAGCCCTGAGCCATCCCAGCCATGGTGGGTTTATTTCAAACAACAAAACTCTTATGAAACAAATGAGATCCATGATGAGAGCTGGAGGATGAGGATGAAGGAAATAAAACTGTCCCAAGAATCTCCCCCTTTCTAGGAATGAGATTGGGAGGGACACTACAGACAACACCAGCTTTCTTACTGTGGATCTCAGCCTCTTAATGCCCATGGATGGTGAATAGAGTATGTCACCACCAAGGATAGGAAAAGATATGGGGCTTTATTCTGGAGGACAATGGATAAAACAGTTAAGGCATGCATACATTGAACAAGATAACTCAGTTCCGTACATACAAATAATCATATGGCCCATTGTAGGCATTCAATAAATGCCGGCTGGATATCTAAACATAGTTAATAATGAGCTAAAGATGTATGTAGAAGCCCTTTGCAAACTATACAATACTATACAGGTGCATTACTTATATCTCCTAATCTCATTTCTTCTCCTTAAAGTCATTCAGCCATTCTCAGGAATTACTTAAACCAACTTTGATCTATGGGAGAAAAAAGAAGGCATGCCCCTTGCCCTCCAGGAGTTTATAATCTTCTTCAGGAGATTGGAAGAAAGTGTATTAAGTAGTCAGAAAACATTTTCAATGCAGAATTATACCTGATAAGGAAATGTTTAACCCAGGAATGGCTTTTAGGGAGCCTCTCCTACAGGAAGGAACCTGCACAGAATGGGGGAAGTAAGGGAAGACTTTCCAAATTTGGCGGATCACATTTACCAAAGTCAGGCTGTTTTGCTTGAGCCTCAGGAAAAGGCTTGGGATTTCTTTACATCTTACCTCAGAACAGAGTCTAAACTGGAATCAGATGCTGCACTGTTAGGATCAAATTCCACATCTTTTAAGGCAAATCTTTCCAAGACTTCAAAGGTCCTGTTTGACTCTTTGGAAATAACAAAAACTTGCTCGCACTTCTCAGCAAACTCTTCATGATAGGAACGTTCAAAGTTGTGCTTGTAGTCTTTATAGTCAAAAAGATAAGTTTTGACATCTTAGATTTGTAGTTTCATATTTTCAATTACACACGGTTATTATAAATGCTCAGGAAGGTCTCCGCCCCTCTGTATCTATATTACCTTGTCGGCACCATATTTCACATCCCATTCCATATGTTAATGAAAGCAAATGACAAACAATTTAATCTCTCTAATGCAGTTCTACTGTCCTATAGGGTTGCTATGAGTCAGAATCGACTCAACAGCAATAAGGTTTGGTTTTGGGTTTAATACTATTTGTGCATTCCTACTTAGGAGTCCAAGTTATTTCAAGACCTCAGAATGACTACAGCAAAAATAAATAAATAAATGGCTTTGGTATGTAAATTCTCTCATCTTTTCATAGCTAAGTATGAAGTCACCTAATTCAATTGTGTAGGGTATGTGTATGTGTCTATCTATGGCAGGGGTTAGGGGAGTAGGGTGTATTTTTAGGATTAATATGCCCCAATATAGATGACAACCATACGTACAGTTGCAGTTCTGCCACTAGGCAAGCCCCTTACACTCTCTGTTAAAATAAGGGCAGGGCCAGTCAACTGGATGATCTCTGAGGTTCCTTCCAGTTTCAATTTGCTGTGATTGTAAACTCATTGCCTAATTACAGTCAGAGTGTCAGATCTGGAAGGCCAAAGATACCCTCTGTCACTGGAGACATCTGTATTCCCCAGGTTTCTTTTTTGTATTTTTTTCTGGGGAAGTGGTGGTGGTAGTGGTGGTGGGGTGTTATTATCAACAAATGCAGGAAAAGGAGAATCAGGTAGGTTAGGCTGGTAGGTTCCCGAGATACTCACCTACCTCCATAGTTAACTGGGCTGCCCTGTGGTTCAGGTTAAAGCCAGAAGAGACCTGGAGGACCTACAGTCTGGTCAAAGGTAGCTTCATGTTTCAAGGTCTTAACGTTTGGGATGACCTCACAGTCTAATAGGTCTCTTGAGCTAACCTAGAACTTTATCCACTAATCTCAGGTATCCCCAAGGACTTTAAAAGTGATTCCAGAGTCAAAAGTATTAACTGATAGTTCTACATCTCCTTACAAGAACTACCAGCTACCCAAATGGCCTATCACTACCCTCACTGTGAAGTATGAGACTTTAGAGCTACCTAGATGATTAAAGGGTATCGAAGATCCAAAGAGAATGAAATTAGCACTTCTTTCTAAAGCCTCCTTTTATAATCCTTTCATTCTGCATTTTCTAATTCAGACGTTTAGTCCACGAATATACATTTAAGAAAAAAGTCTAAAAGAAATAAATCTGTCAGTATTAACCAAAATCAATGACAAAGCAGAATAACACTATGGATAAAAAATGTGTCCCTAACCCAGATACACAGAAAGTCTTGATTCTTGAACACATTAGTCAATGGATGCAGTAAGGATTAAGATTAGTCAGAAAATACCAATATTAACCACACTTGAGACTTTAGCCAAATGCATATATTGTTCCAGAACACATCTGTTATTATTCATTCTTATTAACTGCTATTTACTCTGTGCCTAATATGTGTCAGGCCTTGTTTGTAGGTGCTTTACATACACTATTACTCTAAGGTGGTTAATGTTAACCCATTTTATAGAAAAAGAAACTAAGGCTTACCAATATTAAGTAATTTGTTCAAGGTTCACACAGCTAAGAAGTGAAAAATCTAGGATCTGAGGCCATGTTTGTCAGATTCCCAATAACACTGGAGGTATTTTTTTGGCTACCCTAGCTTCAGTAACAGCCCTGGATTATCATTTGGGATCCACCCAGCCCCAACTCTCAATTCATGTTATTTCTAGTGACTCCACCTCCAGCTCCAGAAGTGCTTACGACCCAGGATTAGTAAATCAGAGTAGTTTCTTGACACTCATTGGGTCAAGTACAAGCGTATGACCCAGATCAAGCCAATCGGAGACAGAAAGATTCAATGCTAGGACTTTGAGCCATTTCTGCTGGACTTGAACTTGGAACCACTACAGACATCATCCTTCATGATGGAGGAGCCAGGGACTGGAGCCAACATCAAGACAGCAGAATCAGGTTGAGAAACTGTTAGAGACCAGAAGCTAGTAACACCATCTGAGCCACTGGATGAAGCCTGAGCAGAACTAGCCCTAATTCTGGGTTTTACAATTATATATGCTAGTAAATTCCCTTCTCATTGAAGTCAGTTTGAGTTACTTAAAACCAAGAGTTGTGACTGATACAATGGTCTGTTCCAGGGGTCCAAGTGATTTGGGTTAGAGGAAGGGTTTTGTGTTGCCATCACAGGTGGGTTTTTACCACCACCACCCAAAACTGTGTATAAATGACTTTTGGTGAGTCAACATTCTCCTATTTACCACAAACGCATCTGCTTCCTATGATATTACAAAGCCTAGTCCCTGAAAGCGTTTGAGAATGCACTTCCTGCCACTATTTGCATTCCCACAGTAATTGGGCCCTTGTATCAGTAACTCATAATCATTTTGGGGTCAATGAACCTTTTGAGAGTCTGATCAAAGACACAGGGCATCTTCCTACCCTCTAAAACACACATATGCATTTAAAAATTCCACTTTTCACATAATTTTAGGGGCTTTCACAGATTTCTCCTGATGTCTGCCTAGGTGAAGAATCTCTGCCATATTGTGATGTTCTTCCACCTTAATCTGTTACATGTCCACAAGACACTATTTTCAAAAATAAAAGTAATCATTTCATTCGAGGCAATATGATGTCAGGCAGTGCTTTTCAAACTTTAATATGCATGTGAATCACCTGGTCATCTTGCTAAAATGCAAATTCTGCTTCAGTAGACCTGGAATGGGGCATGAGATTCTGTATTTCTAATACGTTCTTAGGTGATACCGAGGTTTCTGATCCACGGACCACACTCTGAATAAGGGTGTAGGAGAACCACCATGGATTTTGGAGTCAGAAGGACCTGGGTTCTCTAATCTTGGATACGTGCCTCACTAGTTATGTGACAATGAGTAAGTCATTTAACTGCTATACAGCAGCTTCCGTTGGCTCATCTGCAAAACAGGAATTCTACCAACCATCTGTCAGTTTGTCATACTGTGGTGGCTTACACGTTGCTATGATGCTGAAAACTATGCCACTTGTATTTCAAATACCAGCAGGGTCACTGGTGGACAGGTTTCAGTGGAGCTTCCAGACTAAGACAGACTAGGAAAAAAGGCCTGGTGATCTACCTCTGAAAATTATCCGATGAACACCTTATGGATCTCAACAGAATATCATCCGACATAATGCTGGAAGATGAGCCCTCTAGGTTGGAAGACACTACACAACCACCGCCAACAATGCGCTCAAACATATCAACGATCATGAAGATGATGCAGGACTAGGCAACATTTTGTTTTGTTATACATAAGGTCACCATGAGTCAGAGCCAATGTGATGGCAACTAACAACAACAACCAAAAAAAAAAAACAACCCAGGAATTGTAGTACCTGCCTTGCAGAGCTAAACCTTTAAGATTAAATGGGATAATATACACAAAGCATCAGGTCATTAATAAAGATTATTTCTCTTCCTCTTCCCTTCCCTTTAGATCAGGTTTCTCAACCTTGGCACTATTGACATTTTGGGCTGTATAATTTTTTGTTGTGAGGGCTATTCTATGCATTATAGAACGTTTAGCAGAATCCCTGGCCTCTACCCACTAGATGTCAGTAGCACTCCCCCAAATTGTGACAACCAAAAATGTCTTCACACATGGCCAAATGTCCCCTGGGGGACAAAACTGGCCCTGGTTGAGAGTCAATGCTCTATATTTACATGTTAACTACCAGATACCCTAGGTCTTCTCTGAGCCCCTTAACTTCCTAAATAATTTTTCCTGACTAATTTATTTGCTCTTATTTTCAGTATCAAAAAATGGAGAAATATATGCCACAGGAATAGGGCAATAATTTTAAATGCATAAGGAATATTTTTATCATTTTAAAATGCCTTTCATAAAGGGAGACATACAAAACATTAACCTTATGTTAATAATAGACTCAGCTATCTCTATGTCTACTAACCTATATTTTCAAACATTATGGTGGAGGGGTAAAGCTTTTCTATCACAACCGACCAGTCCTTGAAAACCAGCTCACCCAACTCCTGGAGATCTCTATAAAATCTGACAGGAAGCCCTTTGCTGATAATCTTCGCCTTAAGCTTTCCAATCCTTAATTTTTCCTCATCGTTCTTCAGAGAACATGAGGACAGCACCTCCTCCTTTTCTTCGTCTAACGTCTTCAGCAGCATAGTTCCCGTCCTAAAGTAAAAATACTGAAATTGCGACTCATTCAAAAATGCCGCTTGGATGATCTCAAATTCCGTCAAACTGCAGTGGGGATTCTCCAGGACCCAAGGATAACCATTTTTTGCAGCAACATAGAGATTCTGTTCTACTTTGGATAAAGTGGACAAGTCAGTGGCTTTGGAGAACATGAAAGGTGAGCAGTGAGGGAGAAAGTCTCCGTATGTCTGACCCAGCATGCAGATGAAAAACGGAAGGCAGCTGTTCACATAGTCAAGACAGAGCTTCAGATGTTGGGAACGGAGACAGGAATGCTGTCTAAGGAGGCTGGAGGGAAAGGGTTCCTGGGTCTTCAGTGCTGACCACCTCAGGTCCACAGCTTTGAAATATGTGCCTCGGGAGTTGCAGAGTTCATTAAGCTGAGGGAAGATGTAGTTTGCCAAAAAGTCTCTCTCTTCTTGAAAATCATTCAGAGTTGAGCAGATGTAGGGCTGAATGGGTTTCTGGGGCTTTAAAATGTTTTGGGCACACCTTTTTGCATTCACATTCTCCTTCTGGCTCATTTTGCTTTACTACAGAATGAAGGAAGACACGCTTAAAATAGAACAATTTTCATCCTGGAGCAGTCATCAACTGCCACTGCTTCTAAGTGTTCCTCCAAATTATGTTTGCCATGAATCTTTCTCCAAAATAGTTTCTTTCTTGATGATACATTAAGGTGAGAGAGGCCAACCTAGGGACAGATTAGAGTTGAAAATCAATCTAGTTTAAGTTAGAACTTAAACCACCCCCCGCCACACACACACACTCATTTTAGACTTAAAGGAAGTTCATGTCTTTCCTCTGTTCTCACCAAAGCCTTGGCTGAAGTTTTGAGACTCACAAGGTGAGTGGGCACTGGATATGGTGCCTCTCCTCTTTTCCCCAGACTCCCATACCACTTTCTTAGTGTTTCTTTGGCCAGCCCCTACTTCTTCTCTCTGTACATTTCAAAATTATGCAAGAGAATATGCTGATAGTATGATAAGGAAGACAAGTCTAGAAAAGGAGCCTAATGTATCTAGGAGGAGAAAAAGCCAAAGAGGACCTATGACTGTGACCCAAAGCAAGAATGAAAATAGGAATGAAGCCAAGGTTAGGATAGGAGAAACAAAGTATTATAAGGCCCAGGACCAGGATTGCTGCTGGCAACTGAGAGGCAAGGAAGTCTCATCCAAGAACCTGATGGACTTCTGTGATTTTATATCTTAAGTTGTGGAGGCTCTTACACATTCCATTCACCTATAAAACAAACAAACAAAAAATCCTATTGCCATCAAGTTGATTCCGACTCATAGTGATCCTATAGGACAGAGTAGGACTGCCCCATAGGGTTTCCAAGGAGCAGCTGGTAGATTCGAACTGCCGACCTATTTGGTTAGCAGCCTAATTCTTAACCACTATGCAACCAGGACTCTATACATGCTGGAAATTCAATTCCACTAAAGTAAAGGAGAAACACATACTCTCCAAGAGTGATATAGATATGCTTGGAAGAGCTCAGGAAAAAAGAAAATCGAAACCAAAACTATCTGGTTTTATAAGCTTTTTCTTGATGCAACTCATTTCCATGCCAAATGTTTTGTTGTTATTGTAATGCTTGCTGCTTTCGATTATGGAGAAGCATATCATGCTATAATGTATAGGGCAATTTTTCATTGATGTAGATCAATCTAATCACCTGAAAACATAATAATGCAGTGCTTTCTTTAAAAAAATGTTAACACTTTTGCAATTAACTATCACAATAATCCTATGATAGACACTATTACTGCCTTACTTCACAGATACAGAAAAGAAAGTTCAGACAGGATGAGCAGTATGTTCAAAGACACTTAGGTAGTAAGTGGGAAGCCAGGATCCAGAACACATACATTATACTGCCTCCATATTATAGAGATAAGGTAATATATGGCCATGAAGATACCATAGAAATCAATGGACAAGAAATGCTATTCGATAAGCAGCATTATAATAAATAAGTGGTAATTTAGAAAAATTAATCCTCTGGGACTTCATACCACCAAGAAACAAGAGTCAGGAGCATGGGCATCTTTATACCCAAGGTACCTGCGCTGAGAAGCTCCTAGAACAGGGGAAGATTAACGGCAAGGACCTTCCTCCAGAGCCAACAGAGAGAGAAAGCCTTCTCCTGGAGCTGGTGCCCTGAATTTGAACTTCTAGCCTACTAGACTGTGAGAGAATAAACTTCTCTTTCTTGAAGCCATCCACTTGTGGTACTGCTGTTATAGCAGCACTAGATAACTAAGACAGCATAAGACCAAGAACTGATAGTATTGAAGGAAGAAGCCCAAGCTGCACTGAAGGCACTGGCAAAAAACAAGGCTCCAGGAATTGACGGAATACCAATTGAGGGGTTTCAAAAATGGATACAGCCCTGGAGGTGCTCACTCGTCTATGCCAAGAAATTTGGAAGACAGCTACCCGGCCAACCGACTGGAAGAGATCCATATTTGTGCCCATTCCAAACGAAGGTTATCCAGCAGAATGTGGAAATTTTCAAACAATATCATTAACATCACACGCAAGTAAAATTTTGCTGAAGATCATTCAAAAACGGTTACAGTAGTACATCAACAGGGATCTGCCAGAAATTCAAGCTAAACGGTGCCCAGCTATCACCACCAGCTTGCTCTGACAGGGATCACAATAGTGGGTCCCCGACGGAACTGGAGAAAAATGTAGAACAAAATTTTAACTCACAAAAAAGACCAGACTTACTGTTCTGCCAGAGACTGGAAAAATCCTGAGAGTATGGCCCCCAGACACCCTTTTAGCTCAATACTGAAGTCACTCCTGAGGTTCACCCTTCAGCCAAAGATTAGACAGGCCCATAAAGCAAAAGGAGACTTAATGGGCACACCAGCCCAGGGGCAAGGATAAGAAAGCAGGAGGGGACAGGAAAGCTGGTAACAAGGAACCCAAGGTCGAGAAGGGGAAAGTGTTGACGCATCGTGGGGTTGCCAACCAGTGTCACAAAAAAAATGCATATTAATTGTTTAATGACAAACCAATTTGCTCTGTAAACCCTTGTCTAAAGCACAATAAAAAAAATTAATCCTCAATCTCACACCATTTTATGAAAAACAAACCTTAAAAGACAACAGAATAGCATGGGTGTTTCATTAATAGACTTTTTCACCTGCCATGTGGAGGCTAGAGCTAGATTTTTGGCCCTTAAAAACGTCCACCATCATCCATTCCCCCACTCCATGCGATCAGAGGCCATTTCTACCTTGTTCACTACCATGTCCCCAAAAAGTAGCATAATACCTTGCTGAGAGTAGGGGCTAGGTGAATATTTGTTGAATTAAAAAACGTAATTTTTTTTCCAATGAGAAGAATACATAATTAAATATCAAATCTGGAAAGGACTTTCAAATCTTATAAACTATAGAGTAAATTACAAAAGAAAACATGAACAGATGTGACTACATTAAAACAAAAAAAACCTGAAAGGCAAACAACCCAGTGTAAAATACATTTGCCACAAATAATTTATCTTTATTCTAAGAAAAATACTGACACCCTAGCAGAAAATAAGCAACAGATACAAATAGACACAAAAAAAAACAAGAATACATATCAAAGAATAGTCAGCTTTAATAGAAATTTAAAAATAAGCAATGATAGATTTTTTTAAATAAGAGCTATCAAAATATAAGCGTTAAAAAGCAAAGATGTCACCTTGAACACTAAGGTGCGCCTGATCCAAGCCATGGTCTTCCCAGTCACCTCGTATGCATGCAAAAGCTGGACAATGAATAAGGAAGACCGAAGAAGAACTGGCGCCTTTGAATTACGGTGTTGGTGAAGAATATTGAATATACCATGGACTGCCAGAAGAACAAACAAATCTGTCTTGGAAGAAGTACAGCCAGAATGC